AAGGGTACTGGGTGTTTGGAAGCTGGCGCTGGCCCGTGTTCTACTGGCTTGTGGCCCTGGAGATGTCACTGGCCCCTCTTGGTGTTTTCTCCCTCCCTGTTACACGGATCTCCTCCCCTCCCCGAACCAGGGCATATGGTGTATGGCTCTGTGGTGATGCCACCGGGGGCAGTTTCTCTCTGGAGTCAGGGAAGAGAGGTAACTATGGGAAAGGAGATGAATTTCAGCCCTCAGACCATTATGTAAATATGAGATGTTTCTCCCTCAGCTTCAACTCCTGATTTCATTCAGTTCACAGCACCTCTTCCAGCAGCTGCAGTCTCGCCTGACAGTGCTTCGGAAACCATCATACTGGTGCTTGTTAGGTAGGGGACAAGGCCTGTCTGTGTTTGGAGGGGAAGGGAGACAAAGCATGAGAGATCCATCTAGGACACCCCAGGAGTGACCTTGGGGGGGCTCATTTTTCAGTTTGGGGTAACTCAGACACAGCAGCATCGCATCTTGACCTCTTCCCAGGTGTGTCAGGGTGAGTGTGCACACTTCAGGGAGCTGCTCACGGACTCCTGGGTGTGCATGGCACCACGGCTACGCTCACTTTGCTCACACTTCAGAGATCGCCGTTTGCTATTGCAGGGAGTTTAATGTGCAGCATTCTTGTTGGGGAATTAGGGTGGGGAAAAGGAGCATGTGAGGGAGAAAGGTAAATATTTATCCCATGATGAGTTCTCCCCAGGGAGAAGGGGGAAGAAAGTCTGCTCTTCAGAGGGCAGTGGAGGAGGTGGGATGTGCATGTGCTTACATATTCCTTGAAATAGTTCAACAAAGACATTTGCTTTCTGAAAAGGCAAGAAGCTCATTCTTTCATTCTTATGTGATTCTCTGAAGGTGGTAGGTGGCTGGGCAAACAGGGTGAGGAGGCTGGGTGAGGAGCCCCAAGATCAACCGCCTGCTTCCTCCTGGGGTTTCCAGCCTGCCCATGCGCACGCACACACACTCCCTAGGGCAGGGCTACCTCTCACCTCCCCAGTCCCTTCAGGGAAGAACAGATTTAAACTTTTCCAGAATTGACTAAGTGTTGCCATCCTGCTTCAGTGGGAGAAGTCGGTGTCTGTAGGGGAAGCTCTCAGCTCTCTTGTGATCCTAACAGATGAGCACAGTCGCACAGGGAGGGGAAAAAGACAGAGAGACCCCGTGATCTGGACCTGGAGTGCCACACCTGGAGAAACGGGGGTGCCCACCTTTACCAATTGCAACCCCTTTTCCCACCAGGATCCCCACCTCACCTTCTTTTCACCTGCCCCGGAGGCTCAAGCTGATGGACCTCAGGCATCCACCGGCTTTAATGCAGTGGTTCTCAACCTTCCTAATGCCATGACCCTTTAATACAGTTCCTCATGTTGTGGTGACCCCCAATTTCATTGCTACAAATTGAACATAATGAAAGCATAGTGATTAATCACAAAACAATATGTAATTATATATGTGTTTTCCGATGGTCTTAGGCGACCCCTATGAAAGGGTCGTTCGACCCCCAAAGGGGTCGCGACCCACAGGTTGAGAACCGCTGCATTAATGTTTCAGGAGCAGCTTCTGCAGTGCTTCCTGGGGACTGTTCCATAAGGGGCTGTTGATGTTGTTAATGTTTCCCAGGGCCGGGGTTCTGCCCAGGAAATGCCGGAGGACACTGGCTTCTTTTTGACAGTAATTCCATACCCGCATCTCACGTTTAAACCTGTTCCTTCCTCCAAAGGCTAATTAACAGACGGGTTGGGAAGCTATTAGGATGCGTTAGATGCTGTTGGTGAAGTCAGAGCTGCCCTGGGTGCTCCCACTGCCTGCTCTGTGATGGAGGGGACAGAGGAATTTGGGGGCTGGGGTGGAGACGTGCTCAGGGCTGTGGGAAGAACAACCCGAGGAGATGGTTTTAGGCAAAAGGAAAAGTATTTGGAGGTGACCCTTACGGACATGAAAGGGTCCTTCACCTTCGGGTTCCTCTGCTTATTTCTAGAGGAATCAAGGGAGCACTCCTTCCCACCCCTCTCCCCTCCAGGAATTAATTGCACACCCAAAGCTCTGAGTTTCCTCACAGACCACAGAACCACAGCACCATTTGCTGACTGATTTAGTGAGTTCTCTTCTCGGGTTCCTGGGCAATGAATTGTCAAATCACCCAAACGCTCCATTTTTTGAAGCACTGTGGGCTCATTATAATGAATTGATCTTAACAGAGAGTCAACTTGTTTTTTTGCTTCCAATACAGCAGTTGGAAGGAAAGAAAAAGAACATCTTGCCTTGGACTGAAGGTCTTAGTCTTGCATGATTTCCATTTTATCTTTGAGTAAAAAAACAAGTACATGTCGGGAAAGCAGTGAGACTGTGGGATGCTTTAGGACGGCTTATGGAGGAGTGGGTCGGGAAGGACACCAGGAATACAGAAAGTAGCAGAACGAGGAGCAGGAGGAAGGGGTCGGGTGAGAAGTGGGCGGTGCTGCTCAGGCCCCGAGCTCGGTTTCCTGCTCGGTTTCCCTCCGCCGCCTGCAGCCATGTGCATGTGTGTTCATGCAACAGATGTGCCGCGCTCACTGCTGTGGGCAAGATATGATTCCAACTGGAAAGTGGATGCTACTTTGGACACAGGAGGCTTTAATTAGTAGGTCAGCCATGCAAATACTTTTCCAAAAATTCCTAGACTTGGCAATTCTCCCTGGTATGTTACTTGCTGTCTTTACATCCACCGCCACCCAACCCTAAGCCCAGAAGGCATGCAGATTTGCCCCTCTTTCCATGCGGGGGGCTCAGAACACATACATTTGAAGGACTCTGCTGCTAAGATACCAAGAGTTTACCCACAGTTGTAGGCTGGCCAGGCACAGGTAGAGGAAAAATCCAGTGCATTCTTTTCAATCTATTTTAATGAGAGGTCAGATTGACTGTGCAGTTGATTCAAATCAATTGTGCAGGAAGCAGTGGTGAAGACAGCTGAAAAAGTGAGCTGATTGAAAGAGGTTAATTCACTGGCCCCAGCCAGACATGTCCATGGGTCCGGAAAGGAAGGGAACTGCACCAAAGGAAGCTTCATTCTTTAGTTTCACTGCACGATTCCTCAGGGTCAGGCAGGATTGTTGCCTTTAGATCTGCACTCTGACTCCTTTTCCGTGGTTAGTGAGAATCTCCACCACTTGTTGGAACCAGCACCAGCTGGGGCTATTGGATGTCGCCACTCTCAAA